CTTATTTGATCAATGTAGAGTTATAGAATATCACAAAGAAAATGAAAATCTTTGACCTCTAACGCCAATGGTAATTTCCAGTGTTAGAAATTTTTTTTGTATATACTGCAAATTTATATAAGTTAAAAATTAATAATATTATATTTACTATGAAGTTAATAGTCTATAAAGTTTGACGAATATAAATATCTGTACGAAATAAAACGATGATATTAATGAATCTCATTACTTTTTTATATATTTATCCGGGTACTAACGTGAGTCCTAATCTAGTTGATTTATAAAAATGGAAACAAGCAAAAAATGCTTTTTGCTTTGTTTCGTTAATCGTTTACTGAAAAATTTGTTTGATTCAGTTTGTATCTAGTTAAGTTCTAATGAAATGGCATATAAAAATGATGATTTTTGAAGGATCTTTCTCATTAAAATATGTAGATAATATAACTAAAATATAAATGATAGAATTTCGATTTATTTAGTTCAATTTGTTTTAACTACATTAACTATATTTGGTTTCGGTTTTTTAGTTGCCCAATGAATGAAACCTGTCGATTCATAAACAAATTTCGGTTCACTTCTTAGGTTTGCTTCGTTTTGACTTTCCTACTCCTACCAGCAAATAACTGAAATTTTTCTCTGATTTTATTCTGATTTAAAACTAGACACAAGCCCATTACTACCTGACCCATTAAAAAGGTCAGGGACCAAATGTTTCCAATCCAGAAAAGAAAAAAAAAAAAACTCAAAAGATGGTAAGCTTGTTGATGGTAAGTTGTGAAGAAACAAAATGAGAAAGATCCTTCAAAACTCTTTCTCATGGTCCCATTCATCATCCTCAGTGTTTAGAGTTGTGGTCGTGAGCTCAGGAGTGCTGTAACCTGTTGATGAACCATTAACTCTGATCTGTTCAAAGAAGAGAACTTGCACAATCACTCGCATTGGCAAACGTTCGTTCTGCACCGCATGTTCGCACGCTTCTGCTGATAGTTTTCTGCAATCTATTAACCCGCATACTCTCTTCTTCTCGCTCTTGCTAATCCCCGGATGTTCCTGAAATCTCCAATTCAAACACATTAGATCAAGAACAATTATGAAGGCAAAAAAGAA